CTGCAAACATTTTTAAATTATCTTCAGCAAAAATTTTCTTGCATATGTTATTAATGATGTTGTTAGATGATTTCCACAGTTTGCTGGGTCACCTCTATTTGGACTGGGCACAAATGTAGTTTTCTTCCTATCAGTTAGCCAGGTACCTGTCTTCCAAATTTCTTCGTATAGACACATGAGTGCTCCCCCAACACTGTACTAGCTTGTTGAAACATTTCAGTTTATACTGTATCAATTCCTAGAACCTTGTTTTTTATCAATGCCTTCCTTCAGTGTAGGTTGGACTTCTTCCTTCACTACCATCAGCTCATCAGCTGTTGATCATATGTCACCTCTTGAAATAGTTGAATATCAACCAATTTTTTTTTGGAGGTGGGGCACAGTGACTCTGTGAACTCCTTTCATCTTTTTTGGATGCTTCCTGCATCATTCAATATCTTGCCTGTAAAATCTTTCAATAGTGCAACTTGAGGCTTAAATATTTTCTTCAGATCTTTCAGCTTAAGAAATGCTGCGCATGTTCTTCCTTTCTGGTCTTACGATTCCAGGTCTTTGCACATTTCATTATAATACTTTACTATATTCTTGAGCTACCCTTTGAAATATTCTATTCAGTTCTTTTTCTTCCTCATTTCTTCCAGTCACTTTAGCTTCTCTTTGTTCAAGAGCAAGTTTCAGTATTGGTATTTTCTTTCTTTCTTGTATTTAACTGACCCATTTGCTTTCTTCATGTATGATGTTCTTGATGTCATCCCACAACTCTTCTGGTCTTCAGTAATCAGTGTTCAATGCATCAAATCTGCTCTTGAGATGGTCTCAAAATTCAGGTGGAATATATTCAAGGTCACATTTTGGCTCTCATGGACTTGTTTTAATTTTCTTTAGCTTTGGCCTGAACTTTCAGATGAGCAATTGATAGTCGATTCCACAGTCAGTCCCTGGTCTTATTTTGATTAATGATATTGAATTTTTCCATCATCTTTTCACACAGATGTAGTTAATTTGATTCCTGTGTATTCCATCTGGTGAGGTCCATGTGTATAGTCGCTGTTTATGTTGTTGAAAAACGGTATTTGCAATGAACAAGTATTTGGTCTTGCAAAATTCTGTATGTGATCTCCTATCACCAAGGTCATATTTTCCAACTCCCCATCTTTCCTCTTTGTTTCCAATTTGCACATTCTAATCATCAGTGATTATTAATGCATCTTGATTGCATGTTTGATCAATTTCAGACTGAAGAAGATGGTAGAATTCTTCGATTTCTTCATCATAGCTATGGTAGTTGGTGGGTAAATTTAAATAATAGTCGTATTAACTCGTCTTCCTTGTAGTGATAGAAATATTATCCTATTACAGATAGCACCGTATTTCAAGATAGATTTTTAAATGTTCTCTTTAATGATGAATGTGATAACATTCCTCTTCAATTTGTCACTCTAAGCTTAGCAAACCATATGATTCAAAATGGCCAATACCTGCCCATTTCAGCTCACGAAAGCCTAGCATATTGATCTTTATGCATTCCATTTCATTTTTGACAACTTTCAATTTTCCTGGATTCATACTTCATATATTCCACATTCTGATTATTAGAGGATGCGTACAGCTGTGTTTTGTTTGTTTGTTTGTTTTGTGATGTATCCTATCAGTTCCTAAAGCTTTGTTCCATCCATAACATGAAGGTCACTTCTACTTTGAGGAGGCAGCTCTCCCCCAGTTGTATTTTGAGTGCCTTCCAACCCGAGGGGTTCATCTTCCGGCACTATATCAGGCAATGTTACACTGCTATTCATCAGGTTTTCAGTGGCTGATATTTCAGAAGTTGTCTGCCTCTTCTTCTCAGATGGAACCGTGACTCTGCTGGTATTTGCGATACTGATGGCATAGCTTCCTGGATCACAACAACACACAGGCTACCACAGTACAACAAATTGACTGATGAGTGGTGGATTCAGTTTGTATGGTGAGTAAATAATCCTTCGCATTTGTGAATCTGCACCTACAGGTCACCATCTGTCTGTCTCTCCAAAGCTGCTTGCAAAAGTTCAAGATGGCTGTGCCATGTCCGGCCAGCAGTCTGTTCACTAGTCAGTCTCCTTCTGCTGCCCCTGCTCAGCTTCTCCCATCAGTAGGTGTTCAATCCACTCCTCTAACTTTTCCTCTGAAGTTCAGGATTCCAGGATTTCCTCTGTGTTTGTTTCATTTGGTCCCCTGGATCTTTGTTATAGAGGATCTACATGTATAGTGTATCTGTTTAGTCTGCCATCTTGCTGGAAGTTGTTTCCATGAATTTGCAATTCTTTCATTATGAACGATGCTGATCATATTTCCATAGTTTAAAAGGAGCTCTGGAGGCACAATGGTTAAGAGCTCATCTCACTGAAAGGTTGGCAGTTCTAATCCATTCAGGGCTTCATGGGAAAAAGACCTGACCATCTGTCCCTGTAAACCCTATGGGGCAGTTCTACCCTATCACATGAGGTCACTAGGAATTGAAATCAATCTGAGGACACCTAACAACAACAACAACAAAGCAAGAACTATTTGAAATTTTTATTTGATGGTGAACTCTGTGTTCGTATGTTTTGCCCTGTTTGACTTGTTCCTCTCTCCCCTAGGGCATTGTGCTAGAGGGTTCTTGCCCAATAAACAGAACATCGTGAGATGATGAAATTGCAATATTTTGACACTGTCCAAAAAAGCAGCCACCAGCCCCTTGGTGTCCTGGTATGGCACTGTGGATAAAGCACTGGACTGCAAGGTCAGTTTGAACCACAAAGCCAGTGGTTCAAACTAACCAGTAGCTCCTTGGAAACCTTATACAGGGTGAATATGAAGTGACTCGATGGCACTTAAAAGCAACAGCCCCTTGTGGCTTAAATTTTTTTTTTTTTTTTTTAATTTAGCTTAAGTTACATTGTGGTAAAGTATATGTAACATGAAGTTTGGCACTTTACCCATTTTTATGGGTATAATTCAATGACATTAATTACATCTATCATGTGCAACCATCATCAAAAGCTTTTCACCACCCTAAATAGAAATGCAGTACTCCTTAAGCAATCATTCCCTATTCTCCTCTCCTCTCTCCTCTCAGCCACTGCTAACCACTAGTAATCTTTTGTCTCTATGTATTTGCCTATTCTAGGAAGTTCATATACATGAGACCAACAATATTAGTCCTTTTGTGTCTCACATTTCAGTCAGTATAATTTTTCAAGGTTCATCCACATTGTAGCCAAAATCAGGCTTTTCTTTTTCTTTATGGCTGAGTTATAGTCCATTGTGCATATATGTTACATTGATCTCTTCTGATGATGGGCGCTAGGGTTCCTACCTTTTAGCTATTATGAATATTGTTGCAATGAGCACTAGTATAGATTAATGTACTTGAATCTTTGATTTCAAGACTTTTGGGTATATGCCTAGGAATGGAATTACTGGGTCAATGGCACTGTAGGATAAGCACTGGACTACTAACAAAGTTGGCAGTTCAAACCCACCAGCCAATCCTTGGAAACTCTATACAGTGTCACTACGGGTTGGAATCAACTTGATGGCCCTTCAAAACAACATGGTGATTCTCTGTTTGACTTTTGCAGGAACTGACAAACTGCTTTCCACTGCACTTGTACCATTTCACATCTCCACCAACAGTATACGAAGGGATCAGTTTCTCCTCATCCTTGACCACACTTACTGTTTTCATTTCCTTCCCCCAGTCACCCTTTGGGGGACATGGGTCATTCTAGTGGATATGAAGGGGTACCTAATTGTGGTTTTGATGTGCATTTCCCTGATCACAATGATATTGGACATTTTTTTAATATGCTTATTGGTCATTTGAATATCTTCCTTGGAGAAATTTCTATTCAAGTCTTTTGTCAGTTTTAAAATTGGGTTATTTATCTTCTTGCTGTTAAATTGCAGTAGTTTAGATAGTCTAGATATTAATTCCTTTTTCCGATATATGGTTTAAAATATTTTCTCCCATGCAATGGATGGTCTAGCTTATTTGATAATAAGCTAGGGTCCTATTTTCACTGATTTTTAAAAAGAGTTCTTTACATATTAAGGATAGATAGTATCACTTTATTTGTGAAATATTACAAATATTGTCTCCCACTTATTAATTTTTTTACTAAAATATTAATTGTATGCAATTAAATATATCTATCTTTTCTGTCTTTGCATCTGGACTCAGTTACAGGAAGATTTTCCTTATAATCTGGTTAGAAAAAAAAATCCAGGGATTAATTTAGTAATTCCATGTTTTATATATATCTTTGCTCCATTTGAAACATTTATTATTTTTAAAATGTATATTTACATTTATATTTATTTTTGTCTGTGAATCCTCTTGTAACTAGGAAAAAGAGGCAAGTGTAATTTTCAGAAAAGGAGAGAGTTAATTAGGTAAAAAGAGGAGTTGTCTCTTGCCAAAGCCATGTCTCACAGAAAAAAAGGCATAATAAACCCAAATCACTAGCTTTGAGTCAGTTCTATGGGACAGGGTAGAACTGACCCATAAGGCTTCTAAGACTGTAAATCTTTACAGTAGCAGACAGCCTCATCTTTCTCCCTCGGAGTAGCTGGTGGGTTTAATCTGAGGACCTTACAGTTAACAGCCCAACTCAACCTACTATGCTTCCAGGGCTCTGTAAGGACATAATGTTGTACTTGTGTACTGTGGAGTCAGTTCCAACTCATAGCAACCCTGTATAGGGTTTCCGAGAGAGACTGGTGGGTTTGAACTGCTGACCTTGTAGTTACCAGTCCAGTGCTTATCTTACAGTGCTGTCCCACCGCAAAGGACCAGGCAAAATGTGACAGCACACTAGCTCCATGCACTGCCAGAATTCTACCAGAGGGGGCAGCAAGGAGTCCAGAATAATGCTCTCTCCTTTCTCTGCCGTCCCTCTCCACCCTCAGCTGTTCTGGGGATGCCCACTGACTTCCTGGGCACACTCAGAAGCTGACTGCTGCCGTCAAGAGTCATGGCGCCTCGGACTCTGTTGCCCATCCTGCTCCTGTGCATGCTGCTGCAGGTCCATGGAGGGCCATATCGACGCAACAGGAGGAGTAAGGAGGGCTGAGAAAGGGGTGTAGGGAGGGGACAGGAGAAGTTGTGCTCTGGGTCAGCACAGCTAGCTCTGACTGCAGGCCATGAGGACACAAGGTCCTTTCACCTCATGTCTTCTATCCCCTTCACTGACCCTGGGAATAGTGATGGGGAAAAGGGGACAACCTACATCTTTTTCTTCTCCATTCCACAATCCTGGAGACAAATAGTGCACACGTAGTGAAAGGCGATCGATCCAGGGTTGAGTCAGATGGAGGAAGAAAACAGTCTTTGATTTATACACATTTGGGAGGGATGACTGTATTTAGAACTGGGGATAGGTATAAGAAGAAAGGACATTGAACAAGCAAAATTTAGTCTACTGGATCAAGTTCCAGTGATCATCAGAGGGACCAGAATGTTGTAGTGTTACAACAATGACTGAAAATGGTGAATTCTTGGTGAGCGTCCTGGAGACAGTGATGAGAGGAGGGAGGGAGGACAGCACATTCTCTTTCTCTGGAAGCCTGGAAGTTCTGGAGACCAGGGGAAGCAGGGAGGCCCTCTCAGTTTTCATTGACTTCTCTGGGTCAGAGGATAACTTATATGGCAGAGACTTCAGGAAGACCATGGCTAATAAGGAGACAGGGCCCAGTACCAAGTGTGGGGAGAGGACCCAGGGGGACCCAGACACTGGGAGGCCTATCGAGGTGGGAAGTAGGCAGAGAACTTAAATAAGGACTACCCAAAGGGTTTGAGGAGTCCTGATGTGGCACTGTGTGTTAATGTGCCAGACTGCAAAGCAGTTTGAATGGCAAGGTCGGTGGTTCAAGCTCATCAGCTGCTCCTTGGAAACCCTATACAGGGTCACTATGGGTTGGAATCGACTCCACGGCACTTGACAACAACAATAGGGTTTGAAGGGTCAGGAAGGGATTTTCCTGAAAAGTCTGGGAATGTCGTGAGTAGGAACTAGTTTCTGGGGTCTCAAAGAAGCTTGAGAATGAGATTCTGTCTAGGACCCTGGTTCCACTGACCCTATCTCGTGCCCCGTTTCAGAACCACAAGGAGCCTCAGGAATCAAGGTCTGCGAGCAGAAACCAAGCATACGTCTGTGCACTCAACACTGTTCATATTTCCAAAACTGCCCAGCAAATCGTGTCTGCTGTTCAACCTTCTGCGGGAACGTCTGCCTGAGACTCCTGTGAGTTGGGAGTTGGGCTGTGCCTCCTTGCTTTCTCTCCTCCGAGACTGTGCCTGTGACAATATCACAGGGATGACAAATGCCGACTGACACCAGGAATGACGGCCTCCCCACTCTCTGAACTGCTTGTCCCTATCAATAAACCAGGACAAGCCCAAGGACCCTGTCTGTGTATTCCCACGCCTGTGCTCTGCTAGCCCACTGCCACACCTATTCTGGCCCTGCCCCCTTGTGTGCCCAGGCTGCCACCACTCTTGTCACACTTTTCTGTTCTCTCTCCCTTTGACTGGCACATCCCTGACAGGCCCAGGAGACTCACGCTCTTGTCAGTCTGCTCCTTGACCCGGAACTCCTAAGAGGCAAACTGTTTATATGCGGCCCCTTCAAATGACAAGGAGAACACTCCTTACCTTCCAGCTGATGGGCCAGGTTGGCCACAGAATGGGAGTGTCCCAGGGGAATCTTTATTATGAGAAACATCAGTCCCAAGGAAGTGAGTAACATTCCCAAGGCCAAAAGGGGCGAGAGGACACGATGAGACTTAAGGAGGGTGTTTCCTTTGGATCCCCGGTTGCTCCCTAGAACTCCATTGTGAAGAGATCAGAGGCATGAAATCAGTGCCTTTGCTAAGCCCATGCCTCCATCATCCGCAGGACCTGGAAGGGGTGCCATTAACAATGGTTCCAGTGCCTTCTACACTGAGTGCGTCCTACCTTTCCCCAGTCCTCTTCTGTACGTTCTCAGTCTCTTCCTCTCAATATAGATGAACGTCATGGGGTAAGGAGTTCTAGTAGCGTGGCTGTTATGAATTGGCCTGCTAACCTCAAAGTTGGCAGTTTGAAACTACCAGCTGTTCCACGGGAGAAAGTTGAGGCTTTCTGCTCCTATAAAGATTTGCAGCCTCAGAAACCCTGTGCACTGACTCCATGGTATTTAACAACAACAACATGGGGTAAGAGAGCAGGTTGTTCCTGCTGATGTCACTAGGAATTAATTGGCAGAGGTGGCTATGGTCTTGCCCACGGTCTCATAGTCCTACTAGAAATGCATTCCTGGGATCCAGCCCTTCTTCCACTCTGCACACTCCCTCTGAAATGGTCCTGAGGCTAAATCCAGGGAATGGGTTACATGGTGGCCAACTGGGATATGGAGTCACTTCTGAAGAGGACTCAGGTAAGCCGGCATGCCTGGAAGCAGGTATACTGTGGTAGGCTCTAGTTCAGTCTTCCTGCAGGGCCTAAATGAAGAAGGTGTCAGAGGAGGAAACCTGCCTCCATCACACCAGAGCCTCTGACCCACCTCTAAAGCATCATACTTGGGACATTTTCAGTTCTTCTTCACCTCTTCCAAGAGTTGCCCTTGGACTAGGAGGTCTTCATAAGGGAATCATCATCAACCCAGTATTATTGGAAATAGGGAGTCAGTAAGGGTCAGGAGTCCTGGTGTGGTGCTGTGGGTTAATGCGCCAGACTGCAAAGCCATTTAAACTGCAAGGTCACCAGTTCAAGCTCATCAGTTGCTCCTCGGAAATCCTGTACAGTGTCGCTATGGGTAGAACTGATTCGACAGCACTTAACAACAACAACAAGGGCAAGATCTCTAAGAGCTCTCATTTAGTGTTTCCTTGGAAAGCCTCATCACCTTCCCAGGCTAAGCTCCAAGCCCCCGTAGTAGAGACACTTAAGAGAGGGCAAGTCATCTGCTAGAGTCCACAAAAGGAACCATCAGTGACATCCCTAGAGTTGGTGTCACCCAGTGCAGTAACGCACAATGTCATCCCTTCCATGAGTGGGGCTGGCTTGCAAACCCTCCTTCCTACAGGTGGAGTTGCCCGGCCCTGCCCCTAACTCTTGTGTGGGGTTGAGCACCATTCTGAAGGGTCAGCTCCTCCAGGTCCGTGCCCTGCCCCCCTCACAGCTCCCACATCTTCTCCTTCTCCCATTGGCTAAGGTGGAGACCCTTCTCTATGCTCTATGGCTCGCCCCATGGTCCACCCTCTAGCACCCTGACAGGTGACAGGTAAGGAGGTGATAACGAGTCACTGCACTGGGTGACAGGTGTCACTACCCTGGTGATACTACTGTCTTGGCAGCCTCTCTCCCTGTGGCATAGTTCTGCCAGCCTCCTCCTGCACCATGGCCAATCCTGAGGTCCTTTTGGTGTCACCTCTGACAGTGTGGGGAGGTGCGGTCTGTACTCCCCACTTCCCCCAGTGACACCACTAAGATGATTTCCCAGCTCCAAGCACATGGTTCTCTAAGTGTGGGTTCACCAGGCATGCCAGTTCAGTGAAAACCTGGATCAGCCACTCATGAGCTGTGTGGCCTTAGGCAACTTGCTTAGCCTCTCTGTGCTTTAGTTTCTGCATCTGCAAAAGAGAAATAACAGTAGTACTAACGTCATAGGGCCATGGGCAGTATTCTTTAATACATACGAAATATCAGACAGAGAGGAAAATCTGGTTAGATTGGGTGGTTCCAGATACTTATTGGATAAGTGCTGCATTCATAATGAAATCTTCACAACAAAATGAGGAAAGTGAGGTACAAAGAAGATGAGAGATCTGGCTAAAATAAGTCTGAGTTGGGATTTCAATTCAGGTTAAGTCCATGTTTTAAATCTCTCTGTTATGTGGCCTTTTCAAAGCTGTCTTGGTAGAGAGCTCTTGTTTCATCAGCACGAAAGCCACAAGACATTGGTGATCAGGAAATGTGAAGCCGATACTGTTGTTGTTGTTGTTGAGTGTCATCGAGTCAGTTCCGACCCACAGCGACCCTGTATAGGGTTTTCAAGGAGCGGCTGGTGGGCTTGAACTGCCACCCTTGTGATTCAAACCGACTTTTCAGTCCAGTGCATTAGCTCACAGTGATGATACTAGTAGTGGCGAAATGAATATAGAGATGGGTGAGACTTTGCAAAGATTACACAAAATGTGTGCATGTGGTAGGTTTGTGAGGCTCTTGCCGATCCACAGTGTTTTGCCCCCTACCTAAACTGCCTACGGAGTCCTGGTTAATGCGCTGGACTGTAAAGTCGGTTTGAGTCACAGGTTGGCGGTTCAAGTTCACCAGCCACTCCTTGGAAACCATATGCAGGGTTACCATGGGTCAGCTCGGACTCAACAACACAACAAACTGCCTACGGCAAACAGAAAAACAGCACTCGTTGAGTTGGAACTCAGTTACAATGTTCTCTATGTACCCAATTTTTGGCTTGAGGGCGGAACTCACGGATCTGCCACAACCAGATCATGATGAACTGTCCAGGTCATTGTCTGCTCCCTGGGCAGGGACCCCATAGTTCCGAGAAACCAGAAAGAAGAATCGTCAATCAAATAATTACCAGGATTTCTGATACCTTCAGAGATAGGTGCTGAGGTCACAAAAGCTTTCCTTTGTGTCTAGCTCACATAGTTTCCCCATTCAAGCGATGCCCCCAGACAATGACAACATTGTCCTTCTGTTCAAATGGAGAAACTGAGGAAGATGAAGATGACACAGACAGACATTGTGGGGCTGCATTCAAGATGCCCTGAGAGGGACACATTGCTGTCTTAGTTACCTAGTGCTGCTAAGGTAGAAGTGTCTCACATGAAGGCTTTGCTAAACACATTTCTTTTCTCATAGTTTAGGAGGCTGGGAGTCTGAATGCAGAGGATTGGCTTCAGAGGAAATCTTTCTTTCTTTCTCGTTCCTGGAGCAAAGCCCTTGTTTCTGCAGAGCTTCTTGGCATCTTTTTTCTCTCATCTCTACTTCTCTCTTTTGCTTGTTCATTGCTTGTAGTCTCCAAAGAGATTGATTTAAAACAGAACCTACATGAATCCTTTTTCATCGACATTAACAAAGACAACCCATTTCCAAATGGGATTATGACAACAGGAGTAGAGGTTAGGGCTTACAACACTTATTTTTTGGGGTGTGGAGGGGGACACATTAAATCCATATCAATCACTTAAGTGATATTCCTACTGAGGATGTATACCTTGAATCTAATCATGATGAAAGCTCAGCAAAGGCAAAATGAGGAATGTTCTATTCAAAGGAAGGAGTGGCTATATCCCTCAAATGGTTCAGTCCCATTGACAATAAAGCACATTACTGGGTGAATTAATAAAACAGAATAGTGATGGTGGATTAGGTTAAAGTATATTGTTGTGAGGTTTGTTACTGTGATCATGTAATGAATGTCCTTATTATTAAGAAATACTCACAGAAGTATTTATCAGGAAAGAATCACAGTATATACACTCACTTTCAAGTGATTCAAAAAAAGGAGAAAGAGACAAGAGAAAAAGGAATTCAGCAAATGGAATACATTCTTCAGCTAGGTGAATCTGGGGAAATAGTGTACAGATGTTCTTTGTACTGTTCTTACTCTACCCAAACCAAAAGACAAACAAACAAAAAATCAAATCCACTGCTGTTGATTTGATTCCAACTGCCCCATAGGGTTTCCAAGACTTTATCTTTATGGAAGTAAACTGCCACGTTTTTCTCCTGAGATACAGCTGATGGATTTGAACCGCCAGTCTTTCAGTTAGCAGCCCCAAACTTAACTCAGTACTCTATAAGGGCTCTTACTCTAGTAACCTTGAAACTCTATCCAAATAAGAGTTTAAAAAAAGTGAAAGGCAAACACATACAACGATCCATATAACTCAAATTTTATTTTTCTAGTTAATACTTTTTCAAATAAGTGAAGTTGTTGTTGTTGTGAAGTGCCGTGGAGTTGGTTCTGACCCAGTGACCCTGTATAAGGTTTCTGAGGAGCGGCTGATGAGCTTGAATCACAGACCTTGCGGCGTAAACTGTCCTTGCAGTCTGGAGCATTAACCCACAGCGCCACACCAGGACTCCAAATCAGTGATGAGGAGCATGAATCTAGCTCCCCTGAAAATTTTGCATCATTTGAAATGTCTCTAGATTTTGTGTCTACGGAACCATGGTGCTACTAACCAATAGATTGGTGATCTGAATTCACCCAGAGGCTCGGCTGGAGAAAGAC